GGTTCCCTGACCGCCACCCGCTGGCTCTGCCGCCGCTGTCCCGGAACAGATACGATTTATTTTATTTTGTTTTAAATGAAACCCGGAGGCGTCTGACTCTCAGGGTATCCGGCACGGCTTTCGTGTGTCGGGTTTGTCAGCGAGGGGAGGCCGGTGAGCTGTAACCACCTCGGGGCCCTGCCGGAGCTCCGGCAGGCGGCAGCCGGCACAAAACTTTCGCCCGAGACTTGTCGGTCTCCTGCATTGAAAAAAAAGGCTCCGGAGGCTGACGGGCTGCGTCAGGGGCGAGCGAGCCGGATAGGCTGGGGCAAGTGTTTTACCAGACTATGAGTTAGTTTTCTGAGGTGAAGTAACTCTCCCGCTTATTTTGTTGTGTAAAACTCAGTTGTAAGCTCTCTTAATCCTACAGAGACGGCAGGTTTGTTTTCTTAACTGTAGATCCTGTGCAGCTCGCTGTTTATCTTCTTCGAAGTGGAAGCTCTTGTTAATGCCCTCCTCTTCCTCGTTATCCCCCGGAGGGATACAGATGTATTCGTTGGTTGTTACTCATCACAAAGACTCACAACTGATCGTGGCGATGCTTAATATGTACTAGTAACTTGTATAGTTAACTTGTACTATTTTTTAAGACTCTGAGACAGATGAAAATAGACTTGTGCACTGACATTTCTGTGTCCTGTGCTTGAGCCCATCAGAGTAATTCCACCAAGCAGCAGGTAAAGAAGGGCACACACTGAAGTGTGATCATTTTTTGGGCTCCCACAGAGAAATGCTTTTGCTTTTGTAGTTAGCACTGGGCTAACTTTGTGTTAGGTTTCACTTGTGTTGTTCTTCATCTCGATATTTCAGGTGGACTATACCATAGTGAAATACTTCCTGTTTTGTTCCACTGCAATGCTATTTTACTAGAGGTTTAATTCCAGATAACCTTTAGCTACAGCCTCCATTGATTTTTTACAAGTTATGTTTTTCGTGTCCTGTTGTAGGATGCAAGGTCTGGAATGAAGCACACTGTCTTGCACCTTTCCATTCTTGAGGTCACTCCTAGACGTGACCGTCTCTGCCTTTTGAGGACAGGTGAGACTTTTTCTCCCTGAGTCAATTCCTCTCTGCCATTCCTGGCCTTCAGTGCCTGAGCTCTTAGATGGAAAAAGACCTCAGCTTCCTTGGCAGGGTATCTCCCCACTGAGCCTAGAGCACCTTTTTGGTAATTCGCTAGAAAGTCTGTAAAGCAGAATTTAATACAGAATCAGATTTATGGATCTCCAGCCCCTAGACACAGCTGCTATTCCTGGAGAAAAAAATAATTCTTGTGCAGAGAGGTAAAATTAATTTTTGGGTTGGAGCTGCCAGCTCCAAGTTGGCATTGCATGGTTGGAGAAGCAGCTGCTTCAGCAGATCTCTGCTGTCCTAACTTTTCTTCCACTGTAGTTGCTCTCCTGTTAATTACAGTGAGCCCAGCACTTCTCTAACCAGTGCTGCGTAAGCTAGCTTGAAGGTTCCCCAGACTGCTGCTGAGGTGCTTTGCAGGGAACAAGAACGCAAAAGGAAATTCAAGGTGGTTTAGCTCTTCTTCCGTGCTGTGGTTCTCCACCCTGGGAGCTGTGGATGTTTTGCCAGCTCGTTGCACTGCTGCCATTTCTGCCAGCGTGGCCACTGTCAGCTCACTCTGGAACTGAACTGTTGAAAGCGGCCTCACCAGGCCTGTGCTGCCACAAATCAGGTGTGCTGCTTTCTGGTGCAGGAAGAGTCTGTTACAGTGCAGGATATGTGTGTTCATAGGAACCTTAAAGCACTGCATTTCCAAAATAACTTGTGCATCTTGTAGCTGTAGACTCTGTCTCCAGCATTGCACTGTTTTCCTCAGTCCCAACAACATCCACTTCACTGGACCTAATAATTCAGACATACAAGCATTCTTTTTTGAATATTCTTAAGTCATAAATAAAACAAGCATTATAGCAAACTAGAACTAGGTGAGTTGCTGAAGGAACAGTTTATTTCATGCACACATGAAGAATGTTGAAGGTGGTGCGTAGTTGGTCTTGAGTTTTGTGATCGTTCCTGTTGCATACTTCTTACACTATTCCTGCTAAAATTTTTGTAGTTTTTCAGGATTTTCCTGAGCAATCTAACAATCTGAATGTTTGTGATAAGTAAGCAACGGGAGTAACATGGGAACAGACCCATCAATACAACTGTAGACAATGGTCTAGGTCTTCGGTCATGCTTGAGTACATTAAGGGTTAGAGTTTGTGGACTTTTACTGGTGTTTTCCTTTGCACTACACCTCGTGGTCCACAGGGGGGTAGCAAAATGAAACAGGAGATGTGTTAAAACTGTCTTCGGAGTGTCGGTGTTTACATCATCTGCTGTGCAGAGCTTTCTCAGAAAAGTTTCAGATGTAGCAAAGAGCACGCAGCCTCGGCTTTTTGTAACAAAATGCTTGATAAGCCAGACAATATAGTTCTTGAGGTCTCTAAGAATGTGAAAGTTAGGAGAAAAGCAACAACAACAAACTAGAGTAAGAAACAGTTGGAGATGTTGTGGAAGGGGGGTGTTGTACGCATGAGGTCTGGAGGCTTTACCTGAGAAATTTTGCACCATAAAAAATGGTGAAACCACACAGTAATAGGTCATGAGAGAATGGTTTCATTTTTATTTCCCCTGATAAGCAACTTTGCCATGATATGAATTCTTCAACTTAAAAGCGCAACAAACTTTGCAAAAACTGGTCAGTCTGGGGGGAAAAAAAAAAGCAGTAGTGTCTTCTCTGTGTGTGATAAATGGTCATGTTATTTTTAAATAACATTACTAAGCTTGAGGCTGTAAAGGGCCTGACTGTACCCGTTCCATCCAAAGAGAGCTAGAAGTGTTATGAACTCAAGCGAAGACTTGATTGAAAAGAGATTATCCTTAGAAAGACAAAACCAAGATACTTTGCAATAACGAACTAGAAGTAAGAAAATTCAAATGCATTTTTCTTTAGCTGGAGTGTGAAATCACAGGTAAGTTTAGTCTCGGTGAGAATACATGTTTCAATATACCTTTTTTTCTTTCCCCTTTTTTTAGCAAAAGAACTAGAATAGATGAGCAATGAACAAGAGATTGGTGGTTACTACTAAAGCATGACAGGTGGTGACTGTGAGTCACTTGATACTTCACTACAAGTCCTGTGTATCAATACACAACTTAGGACTTTTTACCTGATTTCTGAAGGAAAAAGAATATTTTTAAGTGGCCACTTGCCTTGCCTTCTCTTTTTCCTTACACTTTGAAACAATTAGTCATTTCATAAAGTTTTGGGAAAAAGGAACTTGAAAAGACATAATTAAAAAAAATAGGAGGAGCAGCAGTCTGTTAAGTTTCTACTTAGGGAAAGGTTGTGAGTTGAGTAAAACCTGGTACTAGTGCACTGCAGGAGACAGTGAGTGATCCAGCTGCAGAGAAGGTTTCAATGAGCGCTTATATGTCCTTGGAAACGGGAAAGTTCTTAGATCTTGGCAAATCAACAGAGAAATGTTCTAGTGTTTTGAAAAAAAAGATTGTAATTATTTTGTATATATAATACTATATAGTGGAGTGTGGTGGTTATGTGTGGGACTGTTTTTTCCTCATTAGAGGCATTCCCAAGTAACACCCTTCATTTTTGTATTCAGAATAAATGATGAATTGGCACATATTTGTGTATTTGCTGTAGCTCTTTAATTTGGTATCCTTAAAGAGAACAATCATACTGTAAGAAATCAGCAAGTTAAAAACAGTTGTTTAAAATTGGTAATTTGAAATTTCCTTTCTGGAAATTACCTTTCTGGGTAACTGTGCTGGGTATATTATGTTTTGTTGATTTGTAGTCTAACCCCATCTCAAGCAGAAAAATATGTTTTGTAGCTGCCTAGTTAGTATTTAGACATGCTGTTAAATGGAGTGTAATGTCAAGATGAGTAATATGTCCTTCTCTGTGTAAGATCGGAATTATTGGTGGAACTGGCCTGGATGATCCAGATATCTTAGAAGGAAGAACAGAAAAATATGTTGACACTCCTTATGGCAAGGTCTGTATAACCATTTTTTTTTTAATTTGCTGAGTCTTTTTGCTGTTTTTGAAGACGTTTGTATGCTTTAAAAAATTTCAGGCTGTTAAATGCATAAAGGAGGTACTGTCACAGACTATTTCTGTTTAATTGCTATGTATTGTTTGATTGTATGTTGAAACAAAGTGTTAACAAAGATCATGTGCAAAGGAGACTGTATCTCTTCTTATTTATAGATTGTATAAATTTACAGACTTGGTCCTGTGAAGTTGCCATCAAGATGAATTAAGTCCTGTCTTTCAAAATTGTGCCGTTATGTGACCTGTAATATGTGTCAGATCACTGCATGAACCTTTCTGAATTGCAGAAAGCTGTCCATTGAGGTATAGGTGAAGAGGGAAAGTCTTATGAGGCTGAGGCTGCAGGAGCTGGGGTTGTTTAGCCTGGAAGAGACTCAGGGGGGACCTTATCACTCTCTACAACTACCTGAAGGGAGGGTGCAGTCAGGTGGGGGTCTTCTCCCTAGACAACCAGTGACAGGACAAGAGGGCCCGGCCTGAAACTGCGTCAGGGGAGGTTCAGGTTGGATCTCAGGCAGCCCTTCCTCATGGAGAGCGTGCTCAGGCACTGGGATGCACTGCCCAGGGAAGGGGGGAGTCACCGTCCCTGGAGAGGTTTAAGGAGAGGCTGGATGTGGCACTTAGTGCCCTGGTCTGGCCCATGTGGTGTTGTTGGCTCATAGGCTGGACTTGATGATCTCAGAGGACTTTTCCAGCCTCAGCAATTCTGTGACTCTGTGATAATAGGCCAACATTTTCCTTGCAGCCATGGAACTATGCTTTACATGTCGATGCTCTCTTTAGAGTCATGCTTATGACCACGTGAGTTGAAACTGGTTTAAAAAATGAAGCTCTGACGTTAGGTTTGCGACACAGGTGTTCTTGACAAACTCCTTCACATTTCTTCAACCCTCTTCCTCAGCAAAAGGAAGTCAAGGCTAGGGATGTTGCTCTGTATGACTGCTGAGTGTGTTGTGAAGGACAGTTCCTGCTGCAATGCATTTGTAGTAGGAACAAGTAAGACAAAGGTGAGAGGGATTTTTATGTGTAGAAAATCAAGGGGGAGAGAGGTTCTAGCTGACACAGGAAGTTCATACAAGAACTGGATCTCAAATTCTTATGAGACATGGGGAGTCTGAGTACTTCAAAATTGTGTTTGGAAATACATTTTATGCAATCTACCAGCGTAAGCTAGTATGCATACAGTAAAACATCTGGCGTATTGTAGCAAGAGCCATTTTATGGGTAGAAGCTTGTAAGAAAGCATTGTGTGTGATTGAAATATAAATCTGTGCCTCCATTCAAAGTAATTGTTAAGAGTGGAAAGAGCAAGTTGAGTTTGTGTATGTACCATTCAAGAAAAGGATGGAGTTAAAGATTAAGGGAGGAGAAAACGTAATCAAAAAAATACATTTGACTTTTCCACCATCCTTCAAAATCTGTTAACAAACTGCAAGAGAATGAAGGGGACTTGTCGCTTCTGTTTTCTGTACCCTCCTCTCCAGATGCTAGCCAGCAGTTGTCTGAGATAGAATCCGCTGGCTAAACCAAACCAGTTGCCGTTGCATTCCCTGTTTTTTGGTACATGGATGGTCACAGCATGCCCGTGTCTGGAGACTGCTCACAAAGTAAAAATAACACTGCACTTGTAGCAGGTACTAACTGAAGCCTTCTTATCCAGGAAGAATGGAACACTCTTCTCCTCCCTCACAGAGATCTGTTCAGATCAGAGTAAAGGGCACAGCATCAGCACAGCGTTTGGAGGACTGTTTTGTCACAGCACTGGGATGCAGCAGGATTTGAGTGGCTCAAATTCCGCAGTGCAGTTGGTGACCTACAGCAGGGTTTAGTATTGGTAGGAGTACCTGTAAGATAGCTCCTGCACAAGGGATTGGAAAAAGCTTCCTTAATCCTTCATCAGAAGGCCAGAAGGCTTTTAAAATTTTATTTAGGAAGCAGTTTCTTACTGTCTTTTTCCTGTGTTCTTCACAGCATGCAAGGTGTATGAGAGAAAATAAGTCTTGGTTGCCTGTAAGAAACCTTGATCAATGGACTGACTGTGTCTGAGCTTGTGTATTATGCATTTATCACAGGCTCACTTTAAAGAAAAAGCTTGTGAATATTCTGTCTCTATGTATGGCTGGCAGGGAATGGATTTAATTGAAATGTCATGGTGGAAACCCAAGCGTGGTTTCTAGGTACTGTGTTGAGCTGAACTGGAACTGTTATCCTGACCTGGATGGAAAACTGCAGCATTGTGGGGCTTCTGTGTTTACAGAAGGGAGCACAGCCAAATAAGAGAGCTTTTGTCCTCACCCCTGCTGGCTTGTCTTTCTTCTCTCTGCCTGTAGATCTGAACTCCTAAGAGCTCAGGCCATCAGTCTGACGGTTGTTTCATGTAGATTCACTCCTTCATAGAATCACATTAACTTCAGTGTCTGAATGTAGTTTCCATCCTCACGGAGCAGCTGGTGTATCAGCCTTAGTGTAAGCTGTGCAGGGCTCAAACTAGAAGTTACAGAAGTATAAAGTGCATTAAATGGGTCAAATTGATGGATTTCAATTGGAGCAGTAATGAATCTCACTGATTTAGTGAATATTGTTAAGTGGAACAATGTTTACTTATTTTGCTGCTGAGAATTTTTGGTATTCAGGAAGGAGATTTTACACAGCCTGCCTCTCTTATTTTAGAAAAAAAGGTGAGGGAAGCAAATGTTGCCAAATGCGAAATGGAAATGTGTGTTTGGAAAAGTTTGGAAGTCTGTGGTTTATGTTAGTATTTTTCTCTAAAGGTTCATGTTCTTGATCGTTACTGAAATAAAACGGGTATTTCTGCCATAAAGATGCTTTTTGATAGAGCCATGACATCAATGGAGAGAGAATCTGCCTGAAATTTTAAGAGTTAAAGGGCTTAATCTAAATAAACTGTGCAGAACTTTGTCGTCTTTTAATTGCTGAGAGAGTTAGAGATGCAACATTAAGCCTGTTTAGTTCAAGCAAAACTAGGAAGAATAACAATGAATGTCTGCATATGTCAAAAGGAAAATGCAAGGCATAGTTTTAAAAAAGTATGTCCACTTCATTCTGTCCAGTAAAAATCATAGAATGGGGAATTCACAACTTCTCTGGGCAACCTGTTCCAGGGCCTCACCACCCTCACAGAAAGCATTCCTTCCTCATATCTAATCAAAATCTACTCTCAGTTTGTAGTCAATACCTGTTGTCCTGTCACTACACTCCCTGATCAAAAGAACCTCCCCAGCTTTCCTGTACTCCCCTTCCAGGTAGTGGAACGCCACTGTAAGGTCTCTCTGGCTCCTTCTCTTCTCCAGGCTGAACAGTCCCAACTCTTTCAGCCTGTCCTCATTAGCAGAGGTGCTCCCAGCTCACTGATCATCTTCTTGATCCTCCTCTGGACTTGCTCCAGCAGGTCCATGTCCTTTTTATGTAGGAGGCCCCAGAGCTGAACACAGAACTGCAGATGGGGTCTCACCAGAGGAGAGCAGAGGGACAGAATTGCCTCCCTCAACCTGCTGGCCACGCTTCTCTTGATGCAGCCCAGGGCATGGCTGGCTTTTTGTGCTGTGAGAGCACATTGCTGGCTCGCATCCAGCTTTTCATCCACCAGCACCCCCAAGTCCTCCACAGGACCGCTCTCAATCCACTCATCACCCAGCCTGTATTGATAACGAAGTTTGCCCCAACCCAGGTGTGGGACCTTGCACTTGGCTTTGTTGAACTTCATGAGGTTGGCCTGCGCCCACCTCTCCAGCTTGTCCAGGTCCCTCTGGATGGCGAACCCTTCCCTCCAGGGTGTCAGCTGCACCCCAGAGCTTGCTGTCATTGGGAAACTTGCTGAGGGTGCACTTCATCCCACTGTACATCTCGCCAACAAGGATGTTAAACAGCACCAGCCCCAATACTGACCCCTGAGGGTCAGCAAAAAAATATGCAAAGTGTACAATTCTGTTTTCCTTGAATATTTTTTTTAATTCTTACATTTCTTGGCAAGGACATAGCCAAAAGACTTTTAGCTAAAAACCTTTCTGGTGGTAACATTCCTTGGCACCTTTGACACTTAAAAGAAGGAAAACAGACTTCTAGATAATGTTGTCCCTTTACATTTAGAAGCAGAGTAATATCTTACATTTTGTTCATACAAACACAATTGTGTTCTGCTTTGTCTTTCTCAAATCTTAAGAATCATATAATAGGAAAACCTACATCTATTAGGGATTTATTTCAGGTGAAATATGAAAAAGTTTAAAGGAAGCTATTAGGAGAATTTTTGCAATTCTGCAATTCTTGCATTGGTCCTCCCATGATCTTTCAAGTTACGTTAGTAATACTAGTGAAAATGTAGTACCTTAAGCTTTTTAAAAAATAATTAGGCTTACAGCTGTTATTATTCCACCCTTCTTTTCTCCTTTGTCTGCTTCCACTATTTTCATTGCATCAAAAATTTGGTATCTATGGAAAATAACATAAAACCTTTTGGTATTCTATTCTAGATGTGGAAAATACTGTTCTGTTATAGGATAAGAAAATTGCTTGCGACAGCATTTTGTCTTTGTCTTTGAATTTTGAAGCTATGAATAAAACTTTGTTCAGAGTATACTTTGTTAGATTGTTTTAGTTTCTGCATGACAGAACTTGGTTCTGAATCATCATTCCCCGGATTGCAAATGAGCTTTTTATGTTTGCATTAGGAAAATCAGACTGTGTGACTTAACGTGTTAGCTCCTCTTCTCCCTCTCCAAAACAATGTGCATCATTTAGTTCCTAAACTAGATCACAGGTTACATGAAGCCTTGGAAAGATAGTGAGATACTTTTCCACCTCAATTTTTCCTTAGATTTTTATTTTGCTTGTCTTCTGTTCTAGCCTTGCTTATTAGGTGAGACGAAGGAAAAAATAAATTCTCCAAGCACAAGATGAATAGTATGCATATTTATGTTGCGGAGAAAAGGGATTATTTCAGTTGTTTGTTACTGTAATAATTTAGGGTTAACTGCTCAGAGTTCTTTGCTTCCTATTCTGTTTTGCAACACTGAGTAATATATATCTGACTTGGATTTTGTGAAAGGGGGAAGTTGTTAAATACGTATGTGAATTATTAATGTTTCAGAACTTTTTAGTGTGCCTTTTATTAAATCCTGCTTTAAAAATACTGTATTAGAGCTTTAGGTTCAGATTGTTTCATTGGATTTTTTTATTACAGCTGAGATGATAGAGAGCTACAGTACTGCAGAACACTTATGGGAGAAAGAGTGGAACGGAAGCATGCTCTAGCTCTGTTACATGGTTAACAAATAGTTTAAAATTTCTGTATCTTTCACTTCCTTGTAACTTTACACATGTTCTTTTATCCTTATTTCCTTTCTTTTAATGACCTATGATACAGTGTCTCCAAATTCTTTTCTTAAACTGTTGGTTCATCATTTAGCAGTGCATTCTTTGTTCCAAATCTTCCTCTTCCACTGATGTGTTTCTAGCATTCATGTGCGAGAAAAGTATTTAGGCAGTCACCTGGAAGATACCCTGAATATATTCTGTGGAAATCTGCATAAAGATGACTACTGGTCTTGTTACACGGCCACCCTGAAGCCTTTTGAAGTGACTAGGGTGGCAGCAGATAGGAAAGGAAACCGTGGCTGCTGCAACTAGATTTTGAAGCGTGTTGCGCTCTTGCTGCATCAGCAGTGTATGCCAGAATTCAGAGAAGTTCTGCGGTGGTGAATAAATAGCAACTAAATTGCACCTTTCTACCCCATGTATTTTGGAAATTGATAACAATGTGAATGTATCACTTGCAATAAACTTGTATCTGTCATTTATAAGGCAAAGGGCCCAGTCTTCAACTTACTGATGTTTACTTTCCATTTTGGTAGGAGGCAAAGAATTTTGGCTAAAAATCTTCTTTAGTTTTTAAGAGTACTTTTGTGTCCTGTTGGAAGCAAAGTTGCATGCTTATTACTTCACACAGCAAATGTGTGCTCTTTAAAGGAAACAAAACCAAAAAAACAAATCCCCAAATGCTAATTATTGTGAACATTCACTGTTGTGGAATGTTGCAACATTAAAATGCCTTGACAAGGAGGCAGCAAGGCTTTTGCCCTCTGTGAAATTTTGCTCTTAAAACCATGTCTGGTTCAGAACAACATATGTAATGTAATGTAAGGTAAGTAGATTAAATATCTAAATATCAGTAGGTTAATACTGAATGGAGACTCAAGGTGGATAATGGTGTCACACGTGACAATCCCAGGGCTGCTAGGGATAGGACTCAAAGGTCTTTTCCAGCCATAACAATTCTGTGATAAAAAGAGCTGTTCAATAGGGAGCATTGTGCTGGTTTTATTAGAAATTAGTATCTCTAAACTGCAGCTATGTGGCACTCATATATTACTTTATTCTAGATCTCTGCAAATTTTCAAGTGCGTAATAGAATTAACAGTTGTAAAACTAAATGCCAATTGAAATTTTACAGCTAGCATTAAAATACAGATAAAATTATATCGGGTAGCAGGCAGCAGAATATTTCTAAATGCAAATATGTGAGTCATTCCAGAAGCTTGCAAGCTTATGCTCAGTAAATAAATTGTAATTTTGTCAATAGCTGTTTCAGCTTTAAATCCCAGGGCATGGAGGAAGAGGTTGGCACAGAGTGCCTGCCAGTTTAGCTGTTTCTCCTACACTGCAAAAAGAAGAGTGAAATGCATACAGTTCTGAATGGAGCAGGAGAAGCAGCACATCCAACCAAGGCCTTACTTTTATAACAAAAAGGGAAGCTGGAAGCGTTGTGTTTGAGATCACTGATGCGTATAGCCCAGGAGCAGAATACAGCCCACAGAGGAGTTAACTTCTTGTAGTGGGTACTGCCTGGTGTGAGCAATATGATCATCGCCACGGCAAGACATGTGTCCCAGCTGGGCAGCTGAAGACAAAACGGTTTAGCTTCCTGGCTGGTTGGTTAGTCAGAGGAATGCACATTTTATTGTGTAGCAGCAAGAGGAGAGCGCCTGCTGTTTCCTGGTCCCTGGGCTGCTGCTGCCGTTAGGGTACCAGGAGTTCTCTGTCATATCACAGCTCACTTCCCAGCAGTAGGACTACCAGCAGCAGGCAACTGGAAGTTTATCAGGAAGCTGCTGGGGAAGTGAAGGGTCGCTTGGAGCAGTCTAGAACCGCTTGCACCCCTGGTGTGAGCTAGGTGGCTGTGGTAGAAGAGGGACAAAGAAGAGAGTGGGGGTTGTTATGGAAAGGGACAGATTAAATGTGATTTCTGTTGGGAGGGGGCTTTTAGTAGGGAACGGTGCCTGTTTAGCAAAAGCAACCTAAGTTTACACGAGAGAGTGAGAAGGGCTAACGATTTCAAGGCAGAAATGTGCAAGCTGCTTCTGACCGGTTTATGTAGCATTATTTGAAATAGTGTTTCAGAGTCTTTGAAAGAATTACTGTTTCAAACCCTAAAGTAAGGGGTTGCCACACTAACTTCAGTATGACGCAGAAAAAATGTAATAATCCTTTTGGTGTCAAGTTTGATCCTGTTCCAGGCTGTTTTACTAATCTGCCATATCAAATTACAGGGCTGAGCTGAAAAAAATATAAGACTACAGGGGTAACCACTATTTCCTCTCATAACTATCCTACTTATTTTTAGGTAGGAGTTAATGTTCCTAATGTGATTGTCAGGCGATAACTTATTTACTTGTTTTGCAGCCATCAGATGCTTTGATATTGGGAAAAATTAAAAATGTGGATTGTGTGCTGTTGGCAAGGTAAGTGAGCATTTTAAAGAGTTTTCTATTATGTGTCTTAAAGTTTTCTTAAAAGTTATTTTTTTCTTTTTATGTTAGATGAACTGAATATTTACCTTAAATTCATCTAGCTCACTGTGGTTGCTAACAAAATCCAGCAAAAGTTAGAGTTTTATCCTGAAAAATTTTGATGCTGCAAGGGACTGAGAGTATTAAAATACCATCTCTGTTAGGAAGGAGAAATGCGATGGTCTCTGCTGCCTTAGAATGGCAACCTGCAAGGCTGCCTTCTCTCATGGTAGGGAAATAACCTCAGTAATCTGACTGCTCCCTGTGATTCCAAATTTCCTTTGTGAAACTGGGGAATTGCCTGTTTCCAGATGAACTGCATCTCTGGCACCACTGTAGAGTCTTCCAAATCATTCCCTGTGATTATTGAGTCCTCTCGATGTTACCTTTATTGCCGAGGAGGCTGCATCCCTGTTATTTTTGCTCCCTGGGTCATTTTTATTCAGATATCTCTTAAAATACTCAGAAGAGACTCTGGAGGCAGATGAGTGCATTGTCCTGGTTTAAACTAGAACAAACCCATTTGTCCAGTAACCTCCTTGAAGGTGGACCTCCCCGAAGTCTGTCACAGGCTAGGGCTGAGCTTGCCACTAAGTGAATGACAAGTGTTCTCTATTAACCCTTCTCCCTTTCCAGAAGGGAAAGGGAATAAGGCAGAGACTGATGGGTTGTAGGAAAAAATGAAAACAGCTTTAATGAAATGGTAACAATAAAAACAAAGATAGTAATAGGAAAATAATGAATATATGTACAAATATATCCAAAACCAATATCAAACTCCCTCAGTGACCGTCACATCACCACTGACACTGCAGGGCAAGCACTGGGAAAGTCTCAGATTGGACTCATGGGCAGGTGAGAAGTGGGTTCAGGAACTGGGTTGAGGAATACACAGATTGAGATTGAAGGCAGAAGAACAGACAGCATGATTCTTGGATGCCAGCCGTAGTCGGAGAGGCCTTAAACCTTGTGATCCCTCAAGTATGACACTCAAGTGTTTTGCACAAGATTTGGCAGTGGCCTTGGTCACTACAGGAGCAAGTATAAGCAAGAGCCTTTCTGCATACCAGTGCCTGGCAGTAAGTGTAAACATCAAGCAGTGTCGCTTTTGGAAGCAGACACTGTCTGAGAAAGTATACTGTTAAATTCAGACAGTCCAGTGTCTTAGAAGGGACTGAGCTGAAAAGTTAAATCAGCAGATGGAGAATTGGTTCTGTTGCAGCTCAAACCAGGATGTACATGGGAATTTCATACTGATGTAAGCATGGATATCTAGGACTAATGTGCTACTAGATTAAACAGAGGAACACTAACATAGTTCTCAGCGTCTGGCAACATGGACAGAGCTGGGTGCTGATAACAGTGTCTGTCAGCAGTCCCAGACAAGTCGAGGTGATGAATCAAGTCCGAGATCCATCGAGGGAGTCCAAGCAGGAGCAGTAGGGGCCAAAGAGAGGGTTGGAGCAAGGCTGGTGTGTGTGTCCAAAGTCCATTCAGAAAACCAGTCTGGAGACAAACAACAGCATAGATCTGAAGGCCATCCAGTAGAGAGGGCTGGGGACGTGCACACCTGTGATATAGCTCAGGCCAGGAGTGAAAGCTGGAGGCAGGAGCACCAAGGTGCACGGACACCAGGTGCTTGGATGGATGCCCAGGGTGAGGCTGGCCAGGGCACTTACAACTCAGTTGGTGCACTCCGGGTCCCTATTTTCAAGCCAGTGTTCTTCTGTTAAGCCGCTGACCATCTCTGCAGCTACACTTCTGTCTGGTTTTACTTTTCTTATCTTGCGTGGGCTTTGATCATGTATTTTATTACACCTGGACAATATTATTCTCATTTTCTCAAACAAAATGCTAAACCAAGATCTCATAGCTGTGCTGTATCAAAGCAGGACCTGGGCTGCAGATGGCTGAACGACTTGGCTGTGGTTTACGTCCTCACTGGAATTTATGACCATTCACATACTACCCTTGTGAGTTTACATTTGGGGCCATGGTACCTGCAACTTCATTTTGTATTTTGGGAAAAATAACAGAATTACTTGTGAATGTGATTTAAAAACAAACAAACAAACGAAAAAAAAACCCCAACACTTATACTCCAGAAGAGGATTATGAGAAGAACTGCCATATTAAAAAATAAAACTACATGCCTAGTAGCTTATCAGAAATGGTAACAAGAACATAGGAATCCTGCCTGACAGTGCTTGGTCATGTCTGCAACTCCCAGTTCCCAGTTGATCAAGTTATTAAGACATTTCAATCTCTGAAAGAATCAAATGGGGGCTTTACTTACTCCTTTCCCTTTACATGGTTGAAAATAGTTTTTGAATGTGTTTAATCATTATATAAGTGATGTACCTTTGTAGCAATGACAGAGATAACACACAACCTTGTACTTATAGGATGAAATATTTCCTGTCTTGGTGAAAAAATATGCTTCAACAGTGTGTAGTCATACCTTTAGTTTTTGAAAGCTGTCAGATGATTTTAAGAGCAGAGAGAAGAATGTGATGATTCTGCTGATATCTTTGGGAAGGTAACAGATTAAAACAGTATATTCTTTTTGGGCTTAGTTTCCTATGATTTGCCACTCTTTTCCGTGTAGAAGAATACAAACAGCACTTCGGAACAGAAAATTTACAGAGGTATATGTAAGTCTTAGAGATCTGTTGTAGTGCAAGGAGCATTTAATTTGCTACTTCTTTGTTTTCAGAATCTGTGGAACTGACTTAGAAAATTCAGAGAAAAATGCTTTTTATACTGTAGAAGCTGCTAAAGTATATTTGGATTATATTTTCAAGATTCTCTTCATTACAGTCTTGAACTTAAAAATTTTGCATTTAAAAAGAAAACTACACCACTACTTCTTAAATTAAATACTAAGAGGACCTTAATACAGTTTGGAAAACAAGCTACCCTGGAAGTAGCTGAAATGATCCATTCCACTTCCAGGGCTGTTGGGGAAATTACATTTCCTGGAATTCTCTTTATCCAGGAGAACGCAGGCAGTTTAAGTCTGATTTATTTTACTCCCTTGCAACATGTATCTTTGCAGACATGGAAGACATCATACAATTATGCCATCAAATGTCAATTACCGTGCCAATATCTGGGCGTTAAAAGAAGAAAATTGTTCACATGTATTAGTGACTACTGCCTGTGGCTCATTACGAGAGGAGATACAACCTGGTGATCTTGTCATAATTGATCAGTTCATTGACAGGTGAGTAACAATTGTTTTTAACTGTGTTCTTAGTTTGGGGGGGGGAGGGAACAAATGGACTTAAACCATATAATAACATATTAACATTAAAATAAATTTTTGTGGAATAAGCCTTGGTTCTTATGGTAAAAAGTGAGTTTCATACAGGAAGACATGATCGGAAACAGGAATAGGATTACATTCAGCTCTAGTGGACATAGAAGAAATACCAGGCTTTGAAGAATGAACTGAAGTATAGCTCCTTGGGAAGAATCTTCTGAAGGCAAGACATCTCCCATTCTCAGTTGTGGGAAAGGAACATGGATAAGAGTACAGTCCATTCCAAGTTCTAAGAAGAATCTGAAATGAGTTGTAGAGGTGCAAGAAAGCGTAGGAGGAAGCAGGGAAGAAAATATATATGGTAATAGTGAGGCTCTACAAAAGAGAGATCAAATACAACACAGTGGGAAAAGAGAGCAGGCTGGTTTAAAACAAAGATAGATGTTATTATTATATGATTTTATTTGCTAAATGTCATAAGGATTTTTTTCCCAAATTATATGTATTCCAGTCAGTCCTTCCCTCCTTGACTATCCGATGTTTAAAAAAATTCAAGCAAATGGGCTGAGGGGTAAAAAAGCCACATTTAAAGATCACTGACTACACCAAATATTTAAAAAATATAGTTGCAGATCTTAAGAGGTAAATTTATTATTGATACTTATAAGTGTACTATGCCTCGAAGTCTTGTTTGGCTATTCCACCCAAAGTGTTTGAAATGGTCTGTGCAGCTTCTTCATGCTTTTGTGGGTCTGCTGGCAGTATTTAGTTGCCAACTGAATGCATATTACTTAGGTTAGTTTTCTGCAGTGCAACGCTGTTCAAGTTGTGACTTACTGATGGTGTATCTAAATGACTAAATACCGTGCAGGAGCAAGCCCTATATAAACTGCTTCCTGTTACATTAGAGTTGATTTGTGGGTGGAGAGCAGCTGTATTGCTGACAATGGTCTTTTTTTTTCTTCCTTTTTTGAAAGTGTCAAACTATTTAGGCTGATTGCTTTGTTTATAGAGATTAAATCGTAATTGTCCTCATTCTGCCAGTGGTACTTGGAAATGAGTAATTTTAGTATCAATATTGATTTATGTAGGAAAGATCTTAAACATACTTGGATACATGTTCTGGATGACTGCATGTAAAGCAACAGCTATTTTGACATCATTATCATCTAGCGGCCTCCTAGGTGGGTGAGGGCAGCCTAACTGTGCTGGGCTGTGAATTGCGTGCATGATGTGCAGTAGCCTCTGGCCCAGAGAGCTTGCAGTTTTAAACAAGAAACAGTTGGAATGATTGCAGAGTTTTTATCTGCTGCGGATGAGGGGTGGAAGTGTGGAGAAACCAACTCTTGCAGAGGTCAGGCAGAAAGACATTAACAGAGACAGGAAATTAACCCAGATATGAAATCTGAGACCATCCTTCATCCAAAATGTCATTATCAAATTTAACAATTCATTTTGAAGCTACCTAATCTCCCTCTGCAGCTTTAAGCTTCCCAGCACTTGCCAGTCTGCGTCTCAGCTTCTGAGCTGGAAAGGAAATAATCAGCTTGGTTAAATTTGGGTTTTAGGCACATGTCCCTTTCAAGGAGAGATTTGTCTGAAATCAAGATGAGTGAAGGGGCAGGCATTATTTATGTTGCAGAAAAAAAGAAAGCAAATAGTATCTTGGGCTGCATTAGTAGGGGTGTTGCAAGTGGGTTGAGTGGGGTGATCCTTCTCTCTGCTCATCACTGGTGAGACCACACCTGGAGTACCATGTCCAGTGCTGGGCTCCCCAGTACAGGAGAGACAAGGATGTACTGGAGAGAGAGACCAGCAAAGGACCACCAAGACGCTACAGAACCGGAGCATCTCTCTTACGAGGAAAGGCTAAGAGAGCTGGTGCTGTTCAGCCTGGAGAAGAGCAGTCTTGGAGGAATCTCATCAATATACATAAATACCTGAAGGGAGGGTGCAAAGAAGAGGGAGCCACTCCCAGTGATGACAGGACGAGAGGCAGTAATGGGCACAAACTGAATTACAGGATGTGAGGGAACACATTTTCACTGTGAGCATAACTGAGCACTGACACAGGTTGCCCAGAGAGGTGGTGGCAGTCTCCCTGCTTGGAGATACGCAAAACCCTCCTGGATATGGTTCTACGCAACCAGTTCTAGGTGTCCCTGCTTGAGTAGCAGGCTGGACCAGATGGCCTCCAGAGGTCCCTTCTAACCTCAACCGTGCTGTGATTCTGTGGCCTGTGTTTTCACTTAGAGTTTATTCGGATGATCACCAGTAGTAATGGCAATAGCCCATATATGAGCAGTGTTTTATTCAAGCAAGTAAGTTTTCATTTTGATGTCAAAGAGTGGGAACTTGTAAGGACTTGGCTTCAGGAAACCAAGAAACTTCTCAGATTAGCATGTGAGAATATTTCAATGTGGAAGATGGTATGTAATATGAAATTAAAAGTTGTTCCTAAATTGCCCTTTAATTCAAAAACTGACATGTAGTAATAGTCTGTTTCATTTCACAATTTGGTTTCTGTGATGCGTCTTTTTTCCCTGATGAACTTTGCCAGTGAATGTCTTTGCCAGTGACTGCTGATTCTTTGGGGGTAGGGTCTGCATTTTTGCCTTTTCACAGGGGATGTATCATCTCTAAGAGCAATTGCATTACATATCATAAGTTGTTAGGAAAACAGTGATGCTGACAGGAAGGTATTTTCATGGGACAAAATAGATTAATTGCTCATCAAAGTGTGAAAAGATGCACTTTTTCTGAAATGCCTTCTAATGAGAGATCAGGATCCTACAAAGAAACTACATCAGCAGTATTGACAAGAAGGTACTGGTTAAATCTGCAGAAACAGCTGGTTATTTTTCTTGAAAGGTACCCTGGCTTCTGCAGAGTGATTAACCCAAGCCAGGCACTACATAGGGAAGAGGCTTGCATCTAGGTGGGGACAGTTTACTCAAGCTGCCTTTAAAATCAGTGCCTTCTCGGTGTCCAGCTACCTTTTCGCATCTGGTTCTCAATAGGGATCACATAATTGTCCTTCTTTCAGGTGTGAGGCAAGAAGAGTGAATAGTGAATAGGAAAGGGAGAAGAGCTGGAACTGAGCAGAAAGCTGTAGGCCACAGTTGTAATTTGGTCCCCTTGGGCATGTACATTGTGGCACTAATGACAGGATCGCAGCCTTTGGAGTTGTGGAGACTTTTGCCTGGCTTAGGGCATAGAATTGACTTTCAGTGGGGAACACTGAATAGGTGTAGTTAGAACTATATAGCATTTCCAAGCTTTGGAGAGCTAATTCCTCAGACCATTAGCACTCCTAGTAAATGTTTGATTTTGTATATAGAGTCCCTGCTTTCTTAATCCTTGCCTATTAATGTGTGTATTTAAGCAAGAAAAGGTACATTTCGTTAAATAAGCACCAAAATACTTACATGGTATTCTCACTACTTCCAAATCCAAAAGTAACCACAAGTAATACTATGGGTTACAACAGTTGTTTCCTTCTTTGAAGCAAGTGCCTAAAAAAAATCTGGAAGAACTTTTTTTCTGTCTTTAGATCATGTTATTTTATTACAGCACTGTTAGTCAACTGGCTAGAGCAGACTGATGAGGGGCTTTTTTATGCTTCCTGTTTGGTTTGCTGCTGATACTTGCTGGGTAGAGTAAGAAGGTAACTACTTACTTGGATGACTCAGCTCAGTAGCAGAAAATAGCTTTGTAAAAGAAATCCTGTAACAGCTGCCAACTTTATTGTTTGAAATCTTTGTGTCACATGCATCATTACAATTATTACAGTATTGTTACATGCTGTAATTTTTTTCATGGGAAAATACTTTTTCAGTGACCCTGAAGAGGTGGACCATGCTGAGACTTCTTTTTAGACAGCAGATGACTGTGAATTTTCATTTTGTTCTTTAATTACTAACAACTCGTTGATAGTTCAGCAGTACTGGAAGAAAAATGAAGATGATGCAACTGGTAGAGGACTGCTGTCACAGATGGAAATGATTGGTTTGTTCACTTACTTGAGTTGGATTTTGCTTCCTAGTGTGAGTCATAATTGGCATTACCAGAAAATCTTGTGTAACTGTGATAAAATCAAAGTGAAGGATCAAAAACCACCTTAGTATCTGATTAAGAGTGTAGCTGTTGCTGCAGGGTGGGAACACCTTCAAAATTGCAATGCGTACAGCTCTGAATTTTCAAAAGCAGTAAGGGTGAGGCAGGCACAACAGAGCTGTGCAGCAGTGCAAGGATTTGCTTGTGCTGTAAGTACCACTGCCTCCTTGAGCAGTTACACACAAAAACACACACACTTCTTTCCTAGGGAAGGAATTCTCTTTTCTTCTGTACTGCCGTCCGCTGTTTGGCACAGAGGCAGCATGAGGGTCTGGGAGGGTCTCTCCGTAGAGTCTTACAGTGACAGGCAGCAGGAGCTATGCCGTCCTGGCTCTTAGCTGCTGTTGTTAAGCAGGATGTCCTGATGGAGGTCATGTGCATTTCTGCGCATTTAAAATGAACATCCAAGGAGCAGGTTGAGTTCCTTATTTCTTGTTTTCTGCTGGCTCCATAATGAGTCACTCAGGGTATGTGGGCAAAGGACTGGAAACTCCTGTAACAAGAGGAGCCTTAGGAAAATACTGTCCTTTGCCCTCTGGCTTCTGGTTTTCTGTGAGAGTAAGGCACAGAAGGCATCTGTGGTTCTGTAGCCTTCAATCTCTGCAAAGGGTGGAGAGGAACAGTATTGCAGTGGTGAAAATTACGTGCTGCTGCCCTGTACCTTGCAGACACATGAGTGAGACAGATCAGGATGGCCAATTCCTGGCTTGAGCAGCAGGGCTACAGAAAGGAGGAGAAGCTAAACGGCATTCGTCTGTGCCAGCTGTTACTTCAGAGACAGAAAGAGCAAGAGTCGGAGGTTGGCCTTTATTCTTGCTCTAAGCCTAGCAACTTGTGGACACATCAGCTGGCCACATACTGAATAGCTGTGGCCTTTGCAGAGCTGCGGTGTTACGTGTGGTAGAGAAATTGTTGCACTGCAAGTACAAATGCGTGTCGTCCCTCACACAGAGAAGTCATAGGTCTTTCTGTAACTTATTCCCCTGCAGTTCATATGTGTGGTAATAAACGTGGTGGGATTTCTTTATTTGATCATGCAGCGATGTGGCTGTTTCCTCCAAAAAACGGGGCATCTGAAAGTCAGAGATTAATTTTTATACATTGTGATCTTTCCTCAGGGCTTTTCTGAGTGAAAGGGCCTCACTAACAACATCTGAAATACTGTAATGCAGGAAATGGATTATGACTTTTCCCATTTCCTCCAATTCTAAATAGTTCATAGCAGACACTGAAACAAGACAAAAAAAAAAGCACAAACCAAAAAAAAACCTGTGTAAAATCAGATACATTCTGTTTGCAGCTCTTTGGTTTCCCATAAAGGAGAAATTAGTATTAGTGTTTCAATGGATTTTAACATCTGTATGCCATTTTTTATATGTTTTTAGTTTGGTGATCTTTTTTCCTATTTTATAAACTCATCGTTAATGCTACTCTACTGTAACATGTAACTTCTATTTAAAACTCTCTTTTAAATATTTTCTGGTGAGTTGGGTAGTGAACTGCTGTAAGAGCAGTATTACTAGCACAAATTTTATATTTTAACAGTAGGTAGAATTTGGCTGTTGCTTTATTTTTTTCCTATAAAGTACAGTATGTGACACACTGAGGGAAAGAAGAGAATGTCTCAGAGAATTTTGTTTCACAGGGCTTTCGCCATCCAGTTGGCTGTATTACCTTGAGGCAGTGCATTTCGTGTAAGGGGATGGTGGGTAACAGTTCCAGTAGTTGTCACAATGGAATTCTGGATGGTAATTTCTGCAGCATGTTTGACCACTTACATGCAAGGAAACAGTCTGTCATTTGAAAGAAGGGACAAAAAGGATTCCTCTACTTGCAAGCTGCCAATGCATGTCTGTAATCTTTCTAAGAATATAAAGACATCCTGTTCTAGGTTGAATTCACACCTCTCTTTTCAGAAAGCTGTCCCTATAAATTCCCATCCTTTCAATGTAGGAATGCTAGGTTATGAACAAGCTCTATTTTGACTAATTTTGTGGTACTTCAGACTTGATTCCTTCCCACCCTGAAAGCTTACTGTGCTTTTTTTTATTTTTCAGAGATTACTTGTCTGACTGCTAGATTTAGCTGATTTATTTTGGTTAGAATCACAGCATAATGTGACTCTTTGTGTCATTTAGGAACAAATCATTGTTTCAGTGTGTTGTTAACAATGGATTTTCTCTTAATTAGTTAACATTGCGCAAGTGGTGTGGCAGTTTTATACTCTTGAGCTCAGCTGTGAAAGGTTTGTTCAGAGGCAAAACAAGATTACGGGTGGTTATTGATGTCATACTGATTTTTTTGTTCTCTCCCAGGAATGCTATGAGTTTGGATATGTGTAAATTTCTTGCCTGCTTTTCTGAGGTTTTTTTCCTTATTCTTCTCTCTGAATACATTTTCCACTTCCCCAGGACAACGAAAAGACACTGTACTTTATACGATGGGCAGCATTCCTGTCTTGCAGGAGTATGTCACATTCCAATGGCAGAGCCCTTCTGCACCAAAACCAGAGAGGTTGGTGAATTTTGTAACACTATATAGAAATGTTATTTTTATGGCACTTATTCATTATATAGTAGTCTAATTATGCATTCTCAGACTACAGAGGCAATCTGCACCTCTTTCTTCCTGCTTCTCGGATATGTCATGGTATTAAGGAAGCATGTAAAATTTGGACAGCATGGGAAGTGAAAGGTCTTGTGTCTGTAGGAGCTGTCTTCCTAAGACAGGTATGCAGAAGATGTCAGCCTCAGTTCCCCCAGAGTCTTAATAACAGGCAAAAGATCTGTATTTATTAGGTAACAAACAAAGAGATCAACAAAGTGAATAAAGCAGGAAGATAGAATTAGGATTTAGTTCCTTTTTCAAAATAAAACTGCACATGTGGTAGATGCAGTCTGTGTATTTAATACAAAGAATTAAATAAATAGTATTGTAGCATTCACAGAAATTATAATATTACTTTCCTGCATTTTAGCAGTGGAGGATGGTGGAGGGTCAAGGCTTAGTTTAAAAGATGTTAAACTTTGAAACAAGCAGATTACAGTAGCCTTTAATGGTTGTTCTTAGTTTTGTATCTTCAGGATTTTCATGTTTCAAAAAACGCTTAGACCAAGCAGTATGAAGATAAGCCCCTGGGAGGAGTGCATCTGTGATTAAATATTCCACCTTAGTGTATTCTTAGACCCAAGGAAAAGGGAAGGTGAAAATTGAACCACATGTTTTGTGCTGCTAGGGAATGCTCTGGTCAGAAGCTGCAGGGAGGTACCTCCTGCAGGGGCACAGGAACGCCTACGGAATTGTTGTGTCCGTCTAAAAGACTTGCTCTTTGTTGCAGTCAGTTGCTGCACTGAGCAGGACAAGCTGAATTGTGGAAGTGAGGTAGCCCAGTCCTGGAGCAGGTACAAATATTTATACTACTGAGCTTTCTGCTCTTGTTGCCAGTTTGCTTCAATGTCATTGTAGGCTCTTTTTGGTTAATTGGCCAGACACAGTGTGGTTTCAAGATACCCACCACAGCGTTGTTAGTGGAATGATACTTTATTGCATTGGGAATCAAGGTGTTTTGCATTGGAGACATTTTACATTTAAGGAGGAAACTAACCACTAAATATTATGCATGTGCATGCTTTTGCCCTTCTTCCACTGAGCAGCAAATTATGCAAAATACTTTGCATTTTTCATAAAACAAGAGCCTAGCCACGTGCTCGTACCAAAGATTACCTAGCGAATAGTGACTTACTGACTTGGAGCATGATGTCATGTCACAATAGATAAAAGGACTTTATTGAGAGGTAACTGTAAACTTTCTGAAATGATTGGCAGTACTTCACACTGTGTCTCTTTCTCATTTTTTAAAAAAGGTAAACAGAGATACATAATCCATTTCCTGAGGTTGCAAGAGACATACGCTAGGTTTGTTTGATGGTTAAGTAGCTAGAGACAGTGTTCTTTGGACTTCACATTTTTTTGAGAAGCCCACAGAGAAATGCTCCTTTTCAAACAGAGAAAAAACATTTAGGTACTTCCCAGTCTCACATGTGATCATTATCTCATTAGCCTATGCATTCTAATCAGCCTAACAGATGTTTTAAAGAACATGTGGTTTTGAGCTCTTAGTGAGGCTTTCATTTAATTTGAAAATAACAGTGACTTAAACTTTGTTCCTGGAACTACCCCTGGAAATTGTTGGGATAGTTTCAGCCCAATTAATCCTAATTCAGTGGAATTTCATAGATAAATACATAATAATAAATATAAAACTATTAATGTAATAGACTATTTAAGTGATTTTGCATAAAAGCATCTGAAACTTTATATTAAATCGCATTTGTGCAAGTACGTGAAAATGCTCTGGTTTATTTGGTTTATGCATTGTAAATTAAAGGAGAGTCTGAAAGGAGTTTATCTTTTCTCCAACTGCAAGTATTTTAATAATGTAGGATGTCTTTGTTATTACTGCTTTCAGAAACTGGGGCTCACTGTAACATCTTATAGGGAGTAAAGTTGGAACTTTGTAAGAGGTTTGGGGAAATACTGCTCAACTGTGGTTTAAGTCAAAACGCAGTCAGATCACAATTGTATATTGACTTACTAACAACGTGTAATTAACTAGCAATCCGTGAATTATATTCAGATTGAATATCATAAAAAAAATACAGTATTAGATGTGTTTAATATCACATTAACTTACAGTATATTAATAAACACCTACAATATCCTTGTGTGGTTAATCCCCGAAAGCTCTGCTTTACCCCTACACACATATTCTTGCAGGTGCATGCACAAATACCCTTTCCCACCACATGTGGATTACAGGCACACCCACCCTCTTTTGGGAGTGCAGTTTTACCCATTTACGTGTGTCTGCAGTGAGGAGGTGTGGGTGCTCCAGCTGCACTTACACGTATTGTGCTGCTCTGCACAGTCCACTGATCCACATGCCAGCGAGGAGGGGCCCCATGAGGTCACGCAGTGCACCCGAAATATCAAGGTCTTGCTCCTTGTTGCACCCATGCATGGCACAACCAGCTGGAGTGCGGGGAGGCTGCTCTGCCCGTCTAAAGTGAGGGAAACCGTGCTGACAGCTCACCTTCAGGTGGTGTCACACTAAGTTTTTCACTGCTGCTGTGTTACGAAGGTGTCTCCTGTCCTGTCACAATTTTTTCATGGTCCTTTTATACTTCTTTTCAAACTTCTTTTTTTGTTGGTGGTCATTTTAAACAGATTTCATAGTTACTTTACCCTTCCTACTCAGGACAGTTACAAGTGTCCTAGTCCCATTTATACATGCTGGTACACCCTTATTCCTCCTGTATCAACTGGTATTACCAGGTAATGTACCAAGAGAGAAGGTCGTGGTGCTTCAGCCATATATAAGGTCCTAGTTGGAACTGTTAAGACTAATGTGAAATAAATGGTACATGTGAAGTGTAAAGTGACAGCTCAGTCACTGGCCTGGGCAAACGTGGTAATAAATTCTCGACAGATTCCTAGGGTGCTCTTTCAAGTATGTGCTTGTAAAGTTTTATTTTCGAACAGTAAATATCCTGTTGCTGTTCTCACCAACTCAGCTTCACCATGTGGTAATGAAGTGCTCAGTGGAACATCTTCACCATTCTGTTCTTAATGGAAGGACAAGCTAACTAGCATAAAAAAAAAAAATCTGTTTTCCAATCTTCTTGGTGTGCATTGAAAACAACAGTCTAACTGATACTAAGAAAATCAGGTGAACTCAAAATCATTCTTGTTAGGGGAATATTAGTTTCTCTTGCTGAATGAGGAAACTGAAACTTATCCTTGGTTTTGCACAGCTGTAGCTGCATGAAGCTTGACTGCTTTGTATAAAGTTAATTTCTTCTGTATGTAAGGTTTTTGATGAGATGCAAAAGCAATTTGCCAGGGGAATTACTTTCTTTTCCTGATATTTTGCAGGTTCTTCTTGAGACTGCCAAGAAGATTGGGCTTCAGTGTCATTCCAAAGGGACAATGATCACAATTGAAGGCCCACGTTTCAGTTCTCGAGCAGAAAGCTTGATGTTTCGCAGCTGGGGAGCTGACGTTATCAACATGACCACAGTCCCTGAAGTGATTCTTGCGAAAGAAGCTGGAATGAGTTATGCTAGTATTGCAATGGCAACAGATTATGACTGCTGGAAGGAACATGAAGAAGCAGTGAGTGAAGTTTTCTTGTTCCTCTGGATTTTGTCCTGAGGGTTCTGGATGAGAACCTGTAGGTTTTGAGAAGCTATCACATACTGAACCAAATCTGTTCTTACTTACGTCGGTATTGCTGAGTGAGTTATCCTGGATGAACGAGTGTGTATGAGCTTGTCTTCCTATAACTGGCCTGATTTTACTTTTGCAAGTCTGTGCAAAACAACATATCTGCTTTAGTTCTCCTAATTCTGTATAATACAATCAGTCATACACAGGAAAGAAGTTTTTACTGGCTGAAAAGATTGTGGCATTTTAATGCCTCACCTTTTCATTTAGACCCATGTGAGTTTAATTTATTTGGATATTTGAAATGTGTGCCATCAGAATTGAGAGACATCACTCAGTTTTATTGTATTTCCAGGTTTCAGTGGATAAAGTTTTGAAGACACTGAAAGGGAATGCAAATAAGGCTACTAGCATACTCCTTACTGCTATACCTCAGATAGGCTCCATGGATTGGACTGACACCCAGTGCACCCTGAAAGTAAGTACACACATGAGGCTGAGGAGTGCTGGGGACAGTGTGTGCTTATATACACATGATATACTTGTATGATCCAAGATGTTTCTGGTTAAATCACAGCTGCTTAGAGTAGATGCTTCAACAAACCAATTCCATTTAAGAAGGGCAAAGAAACTCATTAGAACTCTCAAAAGGTGTTGCTGCAAAGATCTAGCTTGAATTTTACAAGTGTTACAAATGGTAAAAAAATTAGGAACACCTGTGTATGGTCGATGGAGTGTTCTCTGTCACAGCACAGGTAAGATACAAATCTATGCAAGTGTCCAAATGAAAAACTTGTTCCTCTGCTTAGCATTAGCTTATATGTTAGAGCAATGGAGAGTCAAGCGAGGAGGGCTGAACCAAACCAAAGACAGCACGCTCTCTCTAGAAGGAGAGGAATCTGCTAGAAAACACGTATAATGACTGGTTTGAAATTAGTAGGACTGTGTTCTTCCACAGGTTTGGGGAGTGTCATGTTAGAACTGCTTTTTCTTACAGCATGGGTGTAAGGAAATCAGATTATGGTGAGGTATCACAGTGTCTGTGAGTGCTTCTCAGGTAACTTTCTTGACTCTGTGAGAAGATCAGGAGACCTGCTAATATAAGCTGCCTTTTTTGAACTTCTGGACTAGCCTATATGAAATGATAATTGTCAGACCACTGGTACAAGGAATAATGTTGTATTGTGATAAGACAGCTGTGGTAAGTGAATACTGTAGGATAGTTTAGACTGAGGGGTGAGGTGTCTGTAAGTGTGTTTCAGCACACTTCATCACTGACAGACTTTAATATGTTCAGTAGCTAACAAGTTGAAGAGCATCAAGATAAACACTTTTCAATCATTTTTTCTAGTCTGTCACAAACTGAAGTTGACATTAGTAAGTTATGTGTGTAGAGCTCTGATCTTTAAATATTATTGAGTACTTTACTTCCTGAAAAATGTGTCAATGATCAGTGAATGTACTTATGTAACTAGTGTGAATTGGTTCAGTTGAATAAGGTGGAGGGGGAAAATTTCATCAAGACTTCACTTCAACTGCAATTGCAGTGCTCTACGTGCTGTGGACCTTAGAGGTTAAGGACTTCTCAAGAAAGCTGAGATTGAAGTGTTTCTTGGGTCCTACCCTTGAATGTGGCTGATGTCAAAATTGGCTGTCTCTCCATGAGTATTTCATGCAGTATTTCAGATAAATATTTCTGTTCTGGATACCTGTACTTTAAAAATTATGAAGAAACATGTAGAAATCAGAGATTTATTAAGAAGCTTCCTTTACAGAGCAATCTGATTGTATTTGTAAAGAGCTTTCTATGAATATGACGCATGAGCCAGTATGCTAGCCTTAAAAATTAAAAGCAAACTGCACAATTTTTCATTTGTAGCCTGTGAGCCTGAAGTCCTTGATTTGATGTCTCTGCAATATGATTCTTGTTCTTAACACCAGTATGCCTGTTATGTAGGTTTAAAAAGCTGCAGTGACAAGTCCTTGAACTGTTTTATGCTATGCCCTCCCTGTAACTCTAACTTTTATAGTGTTGGAGGAAGTTAGAGATACTATGCACATGGAAAGAGTTAGACCTGTTTGTAATCCACATGGCAGCTCTGTGTTCTGCTTTCATGTTTGAAAGTAATTCTACTCCGCATTAATCTATTTTGACTTTCTATTTCAGACAACAGTGCAGTGTTCAGTCATCCTTCCAAAGCAGTAACGATGTGGATGGACCTTGATGTTTGGGTGCTCACAAGGAAGAGTGGGTCACTTCTGAACTTCCAGAGGTTATGTCTTCAAAAATTGTTACAAGCATGAAAGAAGGAGTAAACATTGACCAGTGATAATGTATAAGATGGCTTTTATTATCTTCATCATGGTTGGTAATGTGTAAGATGGTTAAAGCTAGATGTTGAGTGTATTTTAAACTAGGAATAGATTTACTGTCAAGCTGAATCGTAAAGAGATCAAAATAAAAAATCAGTAGCAAGTTGTCATCCTCTATTCAGTGATAGCTTTTAGTTGAAGGAGGATAAGAAAGGCTAGGTAGTACTCTGTTACGGTTTCATAAAATAAGATCTAAGAAAGCAGATTCACAGATATACTATTTGCTTTGCTGTTTCTGCCTCCCATGTTTTCCTTTGACAAGGCAAATGTTTACAGTTCACTCCAGAAACTTACTAGAAAAACTGTGCAATTCCAAAATAAAATTATACTATTTTTATACTTTATCCATATTTTTCATTTCAGTGATTTTTTTACAGTAGTGGGTTTTGTTTGTGTACTGGAGGACACAGTTTAATAATTTTTGTGATTCTTTCACGGTAACAGTTATTCTCCTTCAGAAAACCTAGATAATGCCAAATTTGTGCCTGAAGATATACTTATGTGACAGTGTCCTGAATGCTGTGCTGGCCTTTTGCTGCTTCATGGAACTGAACAACTCCAGTTTTAGTTTCTGTTTTAAGTGATGAATGTGCTCAAGTGCTTTGAATGTATACATTTCATTTTTTAATACGATTTAACTTCAATAAAATAATCTACTGCTTCTTGATTAATAAATTGAATGAAACCTATGCTTTTCCAACCTGTTTCGAAATTGGGGGGTTTAATTTACTTAGTAGTCGTAAGTGAGAGAATTTTCTTAGCGTGACAATGACTTTTGCCATTCATGGAGCAGGTTAATGGTTCTACCTTATAAGCATCACTTTCAGGAAGACCACTTCTAGAAAATATTGTGCTGCTTAGAACTTAGAAACAACAGGGACTGCTGAGACCAAAGTGGATCAGAATGCAAGCCAAGCCACGAAATTGAAAGATCAGAAACATAAAAGGTACAGATTCTCATGGTAACGTAAAACAAAAATAATTAATCCAAAGGAAAATAGAAAATCAGATACAAAAACTGTTTAACTTACTAGTCTTATTCCGTTAGACACCTAGTCTCCTGCTCTGAAAGCCTTTAGATCTGGACATAATCGCTCTAGCAAAAGCAACGCACCAGATCCTGAGGAAAAGAACTTAACCAGCTTTCCATATTTCTTGGTGTGTTTTGAAGAACTTAGTTTGCAGGAGCCAGAGATGAAGCTTGACAGGAAGAAGGCTAGAGATCTACCGTACCTTTATTACCTTTAATATCAAGCCAAATTGGATGGCTAGCCTTAAAAAAATGTTTTAATTATTATCTTTGCTGCCTAGACAGCTTTAGTAAAATGGATTGGAGCCATAAAGTTCATATTTGGACGTTCTAAGAGAAAGTTGTGAGTTTCTATTTTCAATCTCCCTTGGAGTTTTTTCTACATTCTGTGGTGATAAAGACAGTTGCTATGTTAACTTTCTTGGTTTATATTCTGAGTACTCACAGCGTCACAGGACTGTATGGCACAGAGCAGGTCTGTAGTTGGTGGGTTTTCTTACACATTTCTGTTACAAATTCTTCATCTTTGTTTGCAACACTAGATGGTAATGCTAGATAAGGATACGGATTTGGCTGGATGGCTGCATCCAAAGAGTTGCAGTCAATAGTTGAGTACTCAAGTGGAAACTCGTAATAAGTGATGTCCCTCAAGGGACTGTTCTGGGGCGAGTACTACGTAATATCTTCATGACATAAGATAGTGGGATTGAGTTTGTGGGTAACAGCAAGCTGAGTGGTGCTGGAGCGATGTGGATAACACCAAGATGGAGGGATGGGATGTCCTCCAGAGGGATCTGGACAGGCTGGAGAGATGGGCCCGTGTGAACCTCATGAGGTTCAACAAGGCCAAGTGCAAGATCCTGCACCTGGGCCAGGGCAAACCCTCAGTATCAGTACAGGCTGGGGGATGAGTGACTTGAGAGCAGGGCTGCAGAGAAAGACTTGGTGGTGCTGGTGGTTGAAAAGCTGGACCCCACCTGCACTTCTGTGTCCAGCCCTGAGGCCCCTACAAGAAGGGCATGGACCTGTTGGAGTGGGTCCAGAGGAGGCCACAAAAATGATCAGAGGAGTGAAATACCTGTGAAGACAGGCTGAGACAATTGGGGTGTTAGCCTGGAAAAGAGGAGGCTCCAGGGAAACCTTACAGTGGTCTTCTTGTACTTGAGGGCAGCTTATGAGACAAAATGAATGGAGACTTTTTACAAGGGCCTATTGCAATAGGACAAGGGGCTATGGTTTTAAACTGAAAGAGAGTAGATTTATACTGGGTATAAGGAAGAAATTTTTTACAGTGAGGGTGATGAGGCACTTGCCCAGAGAGGTTGTGAATGTCCCATCATTGGAAGTGTTCAAAGGTTGGATGGAGCTTTGACAACCTGATCTAGTGGAAGAAGTTCCTGCCCATGGTGGAGCCAAATAACTGGTTTTAATTGTCTTCCTAAGCAGTCTTAAGAAAGGTATTGTACAAGGTACTGGAGAACAGGAAGATAAAAAATTTAACATACTGCATTACCAAAATAAACATTCTAGCAGAGAACAGAGGGCATTGTTAGACTCAAAATGTCTCTGGTTTCATGAAAGTGGGGCGGTGACACACAGAGGACTTCAGTGATAGGAATTGTCTCTCTTCTGTTTGACTGTCTCTCCATTACAATTTAGTTTTTTACAACCATTATTTAGTCCATTTGCTGTGGTGGATTTGGAGTGCCTTCTTCTGGAGCATAGTATTGACACAGCTCCTATATCAGAACATCAGGACCAGTGTTAACAAATACTAGCCCAAGATTCTTGGAAAAATCATGTCTTGACCTGGTAAACAGCTTACTGTGATATGAGATTCTAAATTGTGGCTGTTGCCTAACTTCAGACATCTCGGACATTCATTTTGAATGCCTCTCCAAGTTGGTGTCATTGCTCCTCTTATAAAAACGTTGTGTTAAACAACCTGTTACACATTCCCTGCTACGGTTTTATACTGACGTCTCTTATACCAAATATTGTCTCTTGGAAAAAATAATGAAGCTTTCAGCAGAACCTTTCAGGACCTGACTGGTATATGAAATGTGTATGTTTCCCAAACTGTTACATTTTAAAGCCTCATTTAAACAGAATCACAGAATTATTGAGGATGGAAAAGACCTCCGAGATCATAAAGTCCAGTGACTACTTCAGTCTAATTTAGGTACCTTGGTAGTGAGCGCTGAAGCAAATGAAAATGTTTCTCTGAGAATAAATTGTGCGTCTCATGCAAGATGGATTAGAACTGTGGGAAGCCTAGTAAAATACTAGCTAATTAAATTGAACCTTACATATTTCAGGCCTGCTTCTCACTCTCTAGTGGAATTGTCCTAAACTTACTCATTAGTTTATATGGCCTGAATGCTTTCAAGGCTTTTTGGGGGAAGGAATCAGAACAGGGGTAAGAATCAGAACAGGTCAGTTCCTCATGTTCCTTTGCAGGATTTTCCATGGAGGAATAGAAAAACGCAGCTAGGAAACAGTGAGTATGTTATAAATAAACGCTGAAAGCCTGATTTTCTTCCTCACATACGCAGAGGGGAGGCTGAGTGAGAGTGAGTGAGTGTAAATAACAGCAGTGCACAGAGCAGGAGGCATGCCAGTATTAGCCAAGGACTGGGAAATACAGAATCAGTGGCCCACTGCTTCCTTGCAAAATTTTCCACTGGGCTCCAAAGGTGGAGCAGTTCCAGCTGTGTGGAATGTCCAGATTCACGCAGACCACAAGCAGAAGTGTCACTGCAGAGTAAGTTCAACGTGTGAATAACAAATGCAAGAGGAAGACGTACGCCCACTTGCAGGACCTTTTGTCCAACCGTCCCTCCAGTGGCACTTGTGAGGCGTTCTGCTTCATCTTGGCTCACGTGTCATGGTGACAGATCTCCTTCCGCTTTGGCTGAAGAGACTTCTGGATCCGGACTCAGTACCATTCAGACCCAAACAGCCCCTGTCTCTATTCCAAGCCAGCACCCCACACTTACGGTATCATGAGCGTTTGCTCTCACTGACCGTGGAGTTGCTATTCTGCTTATCACTGGTTGTTTAGATGCTATATTTTGCTTACTCCAGCTGTCCAAGGCTTTTAAAGTCCTTTTCCCTTGGATGAGGTCTCCATTTGTTTTGCTCAGAGCACCTATGTTAACAGTGTGATGTACTATAGCCAAAGCAATATTGCAGGTTCAAATCTGGCACTTGACCATGAGGCATTAGATTTACCCTTCTCCTCTCTTTTCTATTTCTTCTAAATCATTCTGTGCAGCCTAATATTGGTCTATCTTGTTAACATGAGATTGCCCACTCATATCTCATTTTCACTTAGCTAATACTTCATGCTGTTTCATGCTAGCAACATCCAGAGCATCTCTCAGCATCAGCACAGGTGGCGTGTGACATCAGAATTTAGTTTTGATATTAGTATTCAAAACAGACCCGAGAGCAGTTGGGATTCCCAGAACTGTAACCAGTAAGAGATCATTTTGTTTATCAAAACCAGCTGAGTATCAGTAAAGGGAGAAATTAATTCAGGAGGTGTTCAGCACTGGGCGGGATCAGCCCTCTAAGACGGAAACTCTGGCTTAACTGTTTTAACGACTGCTTCCTCTCCCAACTGTCACTGCAGTACTGACTAAAGCAGGACAGTGCAATAGAATTGAAATTAACATTTAATCTTTTTTTTTTTCCAAAACTTTGTTTATTTATATAATTGTCAACTTCACCGCCTTTGCTGTGAACTGACCCAGGCAATTTGTGGTGCAAAGCCATGCGTGACTAGGAATACTTGGAAATACATGTTCCATCTTAACAGCAGGA